AAGAGTGTTTAATGACATGCCTCGATGAGAATACTAGCCTGGAAATGAATTGATGGCATTTGCAGATTTTTATAGTCGGCACTTTGTAAAAAAAAAAAAAAAGAAAAAAAAATATAGTATTGCTGTCCTTGAATGCCATAATTGAAGAGAGTTTTTAATAGAACCATGTTAGTTGCACTTTGTAGTGTTTGGTGCTCATTTAAATATCTGAACATTGACTACAGTTTTTACTCCATTGTGTAATATAAAAGATCTTGTAGAAGTTCTTAGTGTCGGTTTGCTGTTACCTGATAAAGGTGACCAGATACCTTTAAAATCTGGGATGTGTTGAACTCCTAGCACATGGCAGTGCACGACCTCACGGGCTTGAGCTGGAGTCTCCACTGGGTCTCGTCCTTGCAAATCATCTTTCTCATCAGCACAGCTCAGAGCATGCACACAGAAAAGCAGAGCAGCCTTTAGACACTTAGCCCTTGTGGTTGATGAGGGCTTCCTGTCCACGGCGGCAGCCCTCCTGTTGAAGGCCCTCTGTTTTGAGTTTTCACTAATAACCACAGGGATTTTTTTTTTCTTTGAGAACTTTTTGCTGTAGAGACAGAGAAAATTAGAAATTGCTCCCAAGGAGAGATGGTCATGCCACAATCCCTTCTCCTCTGTCCTCCTCTTGGGATTTTGAGCGTACATGCACACGTGCCCAGTGTGAGTTTCAGGCCAGCGGGTTCAGGACTTGAACTGCAGTCAACCATGTGAGAGTCCAATGCTTTAACCATTATACTACTTGCTGGTCCCTGCAGGGATTTTTTTTAAAAAAGATAAACAAAAACAACCAGGTTTTATTTTTCATTTTAAAATAATTTGAAGTTCCATTAGATCTAATATTCTTATGCCAGCAGATTCAGATCCCACTCATTCCAACTGAGACAACAGCGTTATTGCAGTAGCTACATCTCCCCAGTCTGTAAGAAGAAGCTCCAGGGTGTAAGTCTCTCCAACCATGCTGTCCCGCTGTGCCCACTCACCTTTGCAGAGAAAGAGTCATCCACGACGGAATCCCACTGTGTCCCAGCCCCTGCTAGCCAGGATCACAGGTGTACAGGGCCCTCCACCTGCCTGGGTTGGGCTGGGCATCAAACGTGGTCCTCCCATGCAGCCCCAGCACCACATTGGAGCGCCCTCTTTCCTGTGCCATGGTGGCTGGGCCCATCACACTAACATTTATTGAATGCCTAGTGTGTGCTAGACTGTTCTGTCTCCCCGGTGACCCGATGTGTTGAGGCTGCCCTGCCCCACCCCCGTTCCCATAGTGGAGCCATCACCGTGTGTAGGAGGAGCAGAAACAAGGTCATTCGTGTACATCCCGCAGCTGCTTCTCCTGTACCGTAGTTCTCCTTATCTGTAGCTCCCGGAAAATAGGGCACACCGTTTTTTGGCTTTCTTTAACAACATTTATTCTTGGGGACCAGCAGGTGGCGTAGTGGTTAAGGCACTGGACTCCAACGTGGTTTGAGTCCCAGACCTGGAGGCTTGAAAATCACGCCAAGGATGTGTGCGTGCATGCCCCAAATTACAGGAAAGTGGAGGAGAGGGGATTGTGGCATGACCATCTCCCTGGGGGGCGATTTTTCACTTTCCCTCTCACTCTCTCTTTGTTGAGCACATGCGCCCTATGATAAAAACCTTTTAAAAAAATTATCCTTTGGGACCAGTAGTTAGTGTATTGGCTATGTCGCTGACTCCCATGTAGTCATCTGTGGTTCGAGTCCCCAACCTGGGGGCTTAAACTCTTGCCGGGTGCATGTGTGTGCATGCCCAAGATCCCGGGAGGAGAATGGAGAAGGGGTTGCAGCGTGGCCATCCCCCCTGGGGGGTGATTTCTCGCTTTCTGTCTGTCTCTCTCTGTCTTTCTGGCGAGTGCACACATCCTATAGCAAAAAAACCCTCTTCAAAAAAATATTATTCTTTTTTAGGTGTTTGTTTTGCTATAGGGCACGTGTGCTCGCAAGAGAGAGCGAGAGGAAAAGCAAATTAAAGGGCCGAATCCCACCGCAATGCCTTAGCCACCACAGGCCCAGACCACCAGCAGGCCCAGACCTTTTGTTCTTTACTCCTAGTCTGAGCTCTGAATTTCTTTTATCCCACTGTTTGTCTTTTCTTGTACAAAGAACTAAGAAGAGGACAGAGGGAAGGAAGATGAAGAGGGAAGGAAGACCCCAGTTTCCAGGGAAGGAAACCAGTGTTTGCACACACTCAGTTCCCTCCCTCAGTCTGTGTAAATCCACCGAGTGCTCGAAGTGGTGGGCTCGGATAGGGCAGCCCCGGAGTCCCGAGGCAGGCTGTAAAAGGTTAGAGACAGTCAGTTCTATCAGTCAGAATCAGAGGAAGGTGTAGGAGATAAACTCTTTGCACGAGGTGGACTTGGAATTGGGTCTCGAAGTGATGGCAGTGCTGGGGGAGCAGAGTCTTCTGAAAGGGGGTGCAGAACTGCTCTTTCCTCTGAGGAGCTCAGATCTGGGACTTGCAAGAGGTAGTTTCATTGGGGAAAGAAGTGGAAAGAGAGACTGCACCGTGTGAGCACGCATGTGTGTGCTCTATAAATAGGCTTTGTTATTTCAGAGGAAGGGGGCTACGATTACCCGGTCCCCGAGTAACACAAGCTCCCTTTCCCAAACCCAGTGTTTTAACAATAGAGAACTTTTATTATCTCTTAAAACAAGGAGTCTCAAGCTAGGACATCCTGCAGTTGTGTACTGTCTTAACAATGATATCGTGAGTGGATCCTTCCTACTGTGCTCCTCTGCCTGCTGGGTCCCCGCAGCCTCACCTTGCTGCCATGGGCCAGAACTGAAAGGGCAAGGATGGCAGCTTCTCTTCACTTTCTGCTTCCGGCCTGAGAGTGAGGAGGACTTGCACAGAATTTGTTCAGCGGTGATTCTCAGAGTTGCACTAGCCAGATTGTCACTTTGATCTTTCTTTTTCTTTTTTCTTTTTAAGAATTATTTTATTTAACTTTGTTCATTTGTTTATTTTAACTTGACCAGAGAGGGACAGAGAGAGAAAGAGCAAGCCACCAGGTCTGGGGCTGGAAATGAGGTCCAGCCACGTGGGAGTCGGCGCCCCCAACCACCATGCCACTTGCAGGCCCCCACTTTGACCTTTCTCATTGGCAGGTCTCTGGTCTCTGGCCAGAGGCATGGAACTAAACTACTGGGTTGCTGATGAGATTCAACCCTTGGGGCTGGGGAAGCTTTCAGGCTTTAGGGAAGCCTATGGCCATCGGTGTTGAGTAAAGTTGGGGTTCTTGGGGAATGGTGTTCTGGCAGCTACAGGTGTCTGCCATAGGAGGGGGGCTGACTGAGGACGTCGGGAACGGATTGTTGATGCTTGAGCCAGGCTCTCAAAGACATGTAGGAACTCTTAGTCCTTTTTTTGTTTTTAATTGCCAGAGGGTGCATGTACTTGCAGAGCGAGCACCCCCCAATGTAGTTTGGTCATGCCATAGTCATTTTCCTCCACCCCATCAGTATTTTTGGTATGTGCGCTCATGCACCCTGCACATTTTTCAAGTTGGTGGGACTGTGACTCAAACCATAGTCAGCCATATGGGATTATCTCCCCATGCACGGTGCCTAACCACTGTACTACTTGGCCAGCTCTAAATTTATTTTTCTTTTTTTTAAAATTTAATTTTATTTATTCATTTGTTTATTTTAATTTGACCAGAGACAGAAGAGAGAGAGAGCAAGAGGGAAAGTGAGAAAGCAAGCCGCCAGGTTCGGGACTCAAACCGTGGTCCAGCGCCTTAGCCACCATGCCACCTGCTGGTCTCCTAGCTCTAAATATTTTTAATGCAAAGCATTTTTAAAAAATAATTATTTACTTAATTTTATTTATCATTACTGTTATCTTTCAGTTTACTACAGGACACAAGCAGAGAGAGAGGAGAAGTGAGAAAGCAAGCCACCAGGTCTGGGACTCAAACTGCTGTTGGCCATGTGAGAGTCCAGCACCTTAACCACCACACCACCTACTGGCCCCAACAAAAAGTATTTTTAAAAAATTTTTATGTATTATGATTATTTAAATTTGCTATAGGGCGATGGCTCCTGCGATCTAGCCATTTTGGGGGAAACGGAGAAATGAAGAGGTCCCACTGACAATTCGGCCTCCAGCATACAAAACTCATGTGGAGAGGCAGAAGGGAACAGAACAGGCCTTCTGCAAAAGACAGTTCCATGGCTCCTGCGATCTAGCCATTTTGGGGGAAACGGAGAAATAAAGAGATCCCACTGATAATTCGGCCTCCAGCATACAAAACTCGTGTGATTGAACTTAAAAGTTTGAGAAGAAACCAACCATCCACTAGATGACTAGAAATTGCTATAGGACCACAAGAAATATGGGAAAGCA